GTAATGGTCACAGAGAAATGCTTTGTTCTGAGAAAAGCTGGTTTAACGCCTCTCAAGCTTGGACATACACCCTTAAATCTGCATGTCACAACCCTCTTCATTTTCAGCAGTATATTAACTTTGGTAGCACTAAAGCTCACTGCAGAGTTTCCTGTTTAATATTCATTATTCTGCCTGACCAAAAGAACGAGATTTCGGGTACAAGCGGCTGAAATGAAATTTTTCCCCAGGGAGTCTGGGCTCTTTCTTATAGATAGGGTGAGAAGTTCGGTCATCCGGGAGGGGCACGGAGTAGATCCGCTGCTCCTCCACGTTGAGAGGGACCCATTTAGGTGGCTCGGGGATCTAGTTGGGATGCCTTCTGGATGCTTCCCTGGTGAGGTTTTCAGGGCACGTCCAACGGGGAGGAGACCTAACAGAAGACTCGGGACACGTTGAAGGGACTGTGTCTCTCACCTGGCCTGGGAACGCCTTGGGATTCCCCCGGAAGAGCTGGCACAAGTGGCTGGAGAGAGGGAAGTCTGAGCTTCTCGACTTAGGCTGCTGCCCCCGCGACCTGACTCCGGATAAGCGGAAGAGAACGGATGGATGGATGAGTATTCTGCTTGATAGGAAAAGCCAGTCTTTCCACTGAGGGGCTTTTTTATTGGTTTGGGTTTGGCCATTTATCAGGGCTCATTTGCATGGTCATTGTGAGCCCCAACAATGTTTCATATAGACGCTCAGAGAACAGTTCCCAATAAAGCTTCAGGTTTTGGCACTTAAAATTGTATTTATCCTTGATTTAATGTAAAGAAATCTTAGTAGGTATTTACATCAAAATTGACATGAAGTGTCCTTCAGTAATCACGGCCATAGAAATCCACTAATCGTTATGTTCCTTCTGATGACTCTAAAACGACTGATACTTTTGGTGTATTTCACGCCAGAATGACGAGTCTATTGTGGGACTCACTGAACCTGACACTTGTACCCACATGGGATTCAAGAGGCTAAACACAGCTTTCACCTCCCCTCACTCCTCTCCTTTGGCTTTATTAAATAGTCCTCTATCACTGAGCATCTCTTTGACCTGACCTTGCCCTCTTCCTCTATCTGTCCAACCTCCCCACTTTACTAAACACATCTTGTTCTGTCTTTTGGTGTTCCTGGACTCCTCTTTAGTGCTGTGTGTGCTTCTGTAAAGATACATCACCTGCAGTCAAGTCATGGAGCATTACATGAGCCATTGGGCTGTGTGATGTTTGTTTACATGGCCTGTCTGCCTCCCCATCTGTTGGTGTTTGTGTGCGGGGTCTGGCTCGCTGTGCTGGCCATGATGCTCGGATGAGCTGATGGATATGCATACTAGCTCAATGGACAGATAAAGGGAGGCGATGAAGGGAGAACGGCATGGGGGAGGTTTTGATGGTGGACGGAGGGATGTTAGCTAGTGTAGCTCCATTTGGGCAGATCATCTCCAAGCCATTGGTCTCAGTGATTAACGGGTCTGTCATGCAGAGATGGAGAGAGCTGGAGTCGGGGGGAGAGATGGGAGTCGGATAGGAAGATCACATCTGAAATAATAAAAGTGCAGACAGGTGAGGTTATCACATATTGATTTTGATGGCATCAAAGTGTTTAGATAATTTGAGCAGGGTATTCTGTTTTCAGTGACATTATTATCCTTTTATTTTTATAGTTTCTCCTTGGCTAGTTTGGTCTATTTTACATTTGCTGGGTCTCGACATCTTGAGTCAACAATTACATTTTCTACGTAACAAATAATTCTAATAGGATGGAATCTGTCTGACCAAAGCTGGTCCGTACACAGAGTAATAATCCCAAACACAACAACTCAATCACAGTAAAATATCCAACATCTGCTCCAGAGAATCCACATTTGAGGGTCCGACCTCATCCCTGTTCAAATGTTTTGGCGTCTCAATAAAAGATGTGCATAAACGTTAATAAAATCAAGTGCTGAGATAAAGGAAAACTGCTATTAATCAGACTAACATGGTTTTATGAAAGGTGATACCTTATGGTTGCTAAAGATGTTTCTAGAAGCTGTTAAACTGAGTTCTCCCACTCTGCTTCACTAGCAAATGAACTAAGACTGTTAAAGGCTTGATTTTGAATGAACTTATTTATTGTATTTATTTACCATTGTTATTTGAGGAACCATAACCGAGCAGCTGACTAGTCATCTAAAACCTTGATTGCTCTTTTCCCTCCTCCATTACTGACCTTAGACTCAGATCCAGATGAACAACCTCACTCCTCTGACGGGATTTGTTCTCCTCTCACTGTCTTTAACCTCTTGCTTGTTTTTGAGTCTTTTCTCCAGAGCTAGTCACCCTTGTCCCACCATTCACGCTTCGGTTTTACTGCGTCCCATTACGCTCGTGACAGCCTTTTGTTGACAGCTGGCACAAGGAGGCAGGCTGATGGAGAGATGGACTAAAATTAGGATGCCAAAGCGCTCGCCAGTGGCCCTGTTTTCTCCACACCAGGAGTTTATTAAGGCAGGATTTCTTTATAGTTTTGTTGCAGGTGTAAAATCCTTTAAATAGGGATGCACCGATATGCACATTTGTGCTGATATCGATACAAAAATCATTACTGTTGTGGCTGATAACCAATATTTACTGTATTTCTGTGTCAAAGCAACCACACCGCTTACTTCTCTGCTTCAGTTCAAACGCCTCAGCAATACTGCATCCCCCTCCTCTTCTAAAACTTACACAAACTGCACCAAGATGGCATTAGACATCTGTTGTTAACAGAGACTCGAGAAAATATCGATACACTGATAGATGGCGATATTTCATATGTTACTACGGAAGCTGTGAGTCAGTTTTTGTAATTTAGAATTTAAATGCAAACATTTACTGTATTGCTTTTGTTTGGTACCATTTAAACTCTGACTGCTAGTGTGCATTCGTTTTTACCACCTTCACGCCGACAGAACAATGAGATCTTGTGATAACTCTGGATGTGTCTTAGAAGCGTCGAACTTGAGTTTTCCAATTTAAGTATTAAAATTTGACTATAACCCTCCCACTGTCGTAATGGGTGTGACCCCGCGAGGAAAGTTGACTACTGAGCAGGGTTGATGGTTTATCGCTTGGGTCCACATGGCAGGGGTGAGCACCACCTCACCCCTGCCATGTGGACCTCAAGGGATAAACCATCAATCCTGCTCAATGGTCAACTTTCCTCGCGGGGTCACCCATAAAGACAGTGGGAGGGTTAATATTGAATGTATTGTATTGTCTCCCCTGTATTATGATTTTTATCATATCGCCGGATTATTCTCAGTACACATCCCTAGTTGTACTAGGAACTAGAAGTGAGCCAGGTCACAGTTCAGTTTCAGACGGCCGGATTTGGAGTCCTTTTTCCTGATATTTGGACATCTCGCTTTGGATTGGCTTAGAGCAACATGACTCTACCACTGACTCTGTTAGCTCTGCAACACTCATGTTTTATCTCCACTAATAACACAAGCCTGGGGGAGTTCCGCTGTGTGGTGGAGTTGCTAATGCTAACAGCCAGCTTCGACTAGTCAAATGCTAAACCAACAACAGCCTTCCCCATCACGAGTCAAGATGGGTGAGCCTATGAATGTTAACTGACAGTGTGATGTAGACCTGCAGCAGCGAATCTGCAGGTCTCCACGCGTCTGCAGTCTGGTTAAATCTTCCTCGTTCCTTACTGGCCACAAGGCACTTGGGTGTACACATCCAACCCTTTAGCTGCCGATCAGCTGATGACAGCTAGCTTCAACACTCCTCATTGCTGAATGATAGTAATGCACACATTTTCTTATCAGTAACAGAAGCTGCATTAGAAGGAAGGAAGACTATTTAGCACATGGGCTGCATGGTGGCGCAGATGTTGGCACTGTTGCCTCGAAGGTTGCCAGTTCATAACTCGGCCGCGGCCTTTCTGCTTGGAGTTGCGTGTTCTCCCCATGCACGTGTGGGTTTCCTCCAGGCACTCCGGTTTCCCCCTCAGATCACATGTCCTATAGGTTAAATATTATAGCATCTGCCAAATAAATTAACGCGATTAGATTACAAGTCACTGAAAAACCTAACTTCCATTAGTAACGTCGTTGTTTTAAACGTTGCTTTTGTTCATATTTCCTCTAGTAAAATAAAAAAAATTTGTTTGGTGGTTTTTAAGCACAAAGTAATTACTTCTCTGCAACTGGGTGTTTAATGCAGATTATTCAGATATATTCAGTGTTTCTGCATCTCCCATCTCCTCCTCCTCCTCATTGGTCTTGCTGTATAGATTAGTATCTGTAGTGGATAGCGGCTGTATCACTGACAGCCCATTAGCAGCTGTCTAAATAGACCATAAACGCATCTTAATTACTTTACCCTGGTAATGCACATCCACACATACACCGCTCCCTTTTCATCATTTAGCTCCCAGTGTTGGCCAGATGGGCGCTTGGCCCAGTAAAAAGCCCTCCATTACCAGCTCGACTTGACCAGGCTGATCCACCCCTCAGCCCGCTTACCGGGGTCTTTCGGGGGCCACGACGGGCCCTTGTTGCCACATACCTATAATTTAGCCCCCCAAGTGCTTTCCACATGGCCACGGCAAAAAGCTGGCCTCCATTGTAGGGGTCCGGTAATTGTAGTCTTGTTTAGAAAACTGCAAGTAGCAATTAGCACAGAGTTGGCATTATACGGGGTTGGATTTGCATCCCTGCTGGGTGCAAAATGCTGTTCTAATATGAGTATGTTTTCCCCACATGGAATTAGCTAAAGGGGCCTTTTATCATATTCACACACCCTAGTCCTCTCTGAGCCAAGCTCTGCCCACCTCTTGCTTTCACTCGCCTCATCTCTCCACATTATCTCCCTTTCTTCTTGTCTTTTGTTCTTTTTATTTGTACTTCTTCTTTTTACCTTCAAATCACTCACAGGTCACTGCTTTTGATGAGAATCTATCCACTCCTCTCAGGGATCCATTTCTCTTTTCTCCTCCTTCCTCCACAGAGGCGGTGGACATCCTGAAGGAGATGAAGGAGAAGGAGGTGGTGATAAGTGACGCCCTCATCACCTCTGTCTTCCACATGCTCAGCACCATAGTGGTCAAAGGCGACTTCTCCACCGTCCGACGGCTGCAGAACACCATCTTCACTCTCGGACTGGCAAAGCCCACTGCTAATCTCTGCTCACCTTTGGTTACTGCTTACCTGGACAGGTAAAGCTGGCATCCTCATCACAAAACCCAGATGAGAATATCAAACTTGTGTGAGCCAGATTCAGTGTTCAAACATGTCATTTACTTGCAATATATTTGAGTTTCATGGCTCAGGTGCTTTACTAAGCAGCCAACACTTTTGTTTTCAGATTTGTCTCATCTGCCAACGCCTGTTGCCAGGTGTGCGTGTGTGTGTGTGTGTGTGTGTTCCATGGGTGTGCATGTATCTCAACCAGTCACTCATCTCTCCCTGTGATCATAGCTGAGGTTATCATCTGGGTCAGTGATTCAGAAAGGGAGAGGATGTGGAAATTGCTCATTTATTTTAGTGTGTGTGTTAGCGCCAGGTTTGTTTGAGGATGTGCCAGCTGTAACCTTTCCCATGAGCCCCCACCCCGATTTCCTGAAAATACCCTCCTCTATAGTTTGAGATTGAAGTGTGTATGTGGAGAGAGAGAGAGAGAGAGAGACGGCCCACTATGCCTCCTCCCATAATTCAAATCTCCAAGTAGACGTTAGCAAACATTTGCTGTGAGGTCACTGGGATTGCCCCACCTTTCAGCTCTATTGAGTGTGTACGTTATCCTGTGTGTGTGTGTGTGTGTGTGTGTGTGTGTGTGTGTGTGTGTGTCTTTTCAGTGAGACAGCGGCTTTCAACTAGATCAACTCATTAGCATGTTAATTATGCACAGAACACTAATTGCTTGATTTACTATAGACACTCGGTGCTCTGTCAGGGGCCCCACCACACACAACCTGCACATGCTTTCATTCAGTTTACCTTTTGTGCATTACCGCACAAGAAACAAACCTTTGCAGACACACACAAACACACACACACACTGACGGTGCTCCCCTGCTGCTGTTTGTGTTGCTTTAACTGCGCTCTTTGACACAAACAGAGTTTCCAGGTTCACTTGATAATCACTGCCTGTGTGAGATTAGCAGGCTAATTTACTCCTGGGCCATCAACAGCAGCCACAACACGCACAACAGCTTGCCACAGCCGCGCTCACAAATCAAGTGCCAGTTGAATTTCCTCCAGCTTATACGCCCGTGAACACGAGTCAAACCGAACCGTTCTGATCATGCCTATTGGCTGTTAGAGCTTCACCGGTGAGCCAGACCTGCACATAAACTTGTTTCAGTTGATTGTTTTACAGTAAACATTTACCAGAGTGAAACCTGCAGGATTCAGTGAACAATCATATGAGACTAAATGCATCTGGATCGGATGCAGGCTCACATTACTGCTAGTAAGGGATGTTTTGATCCTTTTTGCTTCCTCCAAAGGTGTGTTCAAAGTGTGAAGCCAAGCTTCAGGGCAGATTTGAGCACCACATCACTTGACTTCTTGCACTCGTGTAGAATCCGTCTTCCTGCTCCCTTCTCTTTTTATCTCCATCTGCTCGTCTCCACCTCTTCCGTCAGTCAGCGGACAAACAGGCAGTCGTGGAGGAGAGGAGGGATGGAGGGAAGCGATAAGAGAGGACAAAGCAGGCATCACTCCCGCATGCACCCATTTCATCGCTGCGTCAGCGCTAATGACTTAATGAACACTTCTTCGCCAGATTAGCCCTTGACAGCCCATCACACGCGCCGCCCCGTTAGCCTTCACGCCCGTCCTCTCTGCATTGTGTGTGCTAACCTGCCAGCGCACTAGTTGGCAGCTAGCTCAGATTGCCATCCTTGAGGAAGTGATTAGCGACAGTAAATGCTAATGAGTCCAACAAAATGAAGAGCTGGCAGGATGTGGATGATGAGGCAGGAGAGGGATGGAGGAACACAAGAAGACGGGCTCAGAGCGGGAAAGAGATGATCGGCCAAAAAAAATCTGTAATTCACTTCATCATGTTGTGTCAGCCTAAAAAGAGCTATTTAGTACTTATACAATAGTTTAGAATGATGTATTTTCTACATGAAGAGGCACGTCTTGGATTTCACATTACAGCTCAACATATGTGAACTTTTTTTATGTCTTCTTATAAATCTATGATCCCCCCCCCCCCCCCCCCCCCTGTTCCAGCCTCACTGGATGCTAACTGTAAATGTTTTATTTCGAATCATTCGTAAATATCTTTGAAAGCGTTTAATCCTGTGCTGCATAAATATAAAGAAGACAAAGTCTTACAGATCAAATGGAGTGGTTGTTAAAATGAAATAACTCATTAGCCTGAGGGGTTTGTGCGCAGCTCGGTGTTAAAGTCACTAAATATAAATAACATGTTGCCACATCTATTTCAGAAACGTTCACCTGCCTTTGCGCTGCCAACGTCTTCCCCTTTTTACACACAATCAGCTGTTAAGGGTGTGAATAATGTCAGTAATAAGTTAGTGTCCTTCATGCACACTTGTAACTGCAGGCTAGTGGTGTCGGGATCACCGTCTCATTTGTGTGTCGAGACACAGACCCCCCCCCCCCACACACACACACACACACCTTCTTCTTGTGCGAGGACAGTGGCTTGATGACGTGCCTGCCCATCTCCCATAAACAAAGGAGTGGGACAGAGAAAAATAACAATAATCAGGGGGAGAGAGGGAGAAGTCATCCTACGAATCTTACGTCTCATCCTTCAGGTTTCTACCGAGCACAGCGCTCGTTATGATTTATTTATTTAAATTTTTTTCAGGGCTTAATTGGCTGGAAAGTGGCTGACATGCAAAGTTGGGGACATTAACGGGGCTGCGCGCCGCAGTAAATGGCAACGCAAAGTGACAGTTAAATTGTACCTAGGGGAAATTATCCATCTTTCGACATCTTTAGCTCTTTTTAGGGGGTGGATCAGCGAGCGGAGAGATGGGGTGTAATTGCAACGCCAGGCCTTTTTTTGTTTTTTATTTTTTTTTGCAGCTCTCATTAGAAAGAAGGAATTCTAAGTGTTTAATGGAGGAGAGAATGAGGTGGACAGGCAGCAGAGACAAAGCATTCACCAGATGAACAAGAATGAACTTTTATTAAAAGTCAAATTGCTTTGATCACAAACATCATTCTGTGCTTGCGCTGCCTCTCTGCAGTGGCATGCATACCTTTGTCCTGCTCCCTGATTTCACTCGGTCTCTAAACTCTCTTTGTTTCTGTTCTGAGCCGTTCAATCAGCCCGTTGAGCGGTTGAACAGCCTCTTGACTGGCGCTGCTGAATAATGTTGTGCCTCTTCATTTCAATTAGCGCACCTCTTTGCCTTCTGGCCCTAATCACACTCTTCCTCCTCCCGCTGTCACTCCTCCTGCCAAACAGAAGCTGAAGCCAAGGTCAAATGTTGGTGGTCATTTGGGGCATTTTGTTGCATCTCTAATTGATTAGAGGAGAAAACACTTGAGAAATTACACCTGTTCACTCTCAAGCTAACACTCACTCTGCACTTTTCCCCTCCCTCTCTCGCTCCCATCGTTGCCCTATCTGCCTTGACCTCTGTGTGATTGACATGGTAATTACCCAATCAGCAGATTGATGGCAGCGCTGTCACAATAGAGAGGATTGAAGTGGTCTCCTGCTTCCTCTCTGCATCTCAGTCTCTCCTCATCTCTTGTCATCACTCCGTCGGGCACCAATCCTCCCTTTGGTGCAGTAAGGTTAGAAAGACTGAGCGAGGAAAAGGTGATGTGAGAAGGGAGAAAGTAGGGGTCTCTAATATTGTTGCCATGTTGGCGCTAAATCGCTCGGCTAGCGGGCGAGGTCATCGGCAAGTTGGGGGAGCCGACAGCGTGAAATCAAAAAGATGACCATGAGGAGAGAAGTTAGAAAGAAAGTGTGAAGATTAGGAGAAAAGGGAAATGAGAGGAGGTGAAGGAGTGTGGAGGTGGACAAAAGAAGAGAAGTTGGAGGCTGTGCAGAGAGGGTAAAGATCAGTGAAGTCCTTTTATCTGCCGGATTGCTTCACCTCTAAAAGCCTGTCCATAGAGTCATTAGCCCTTCCCCGACAGGTGTGTGAGTGTGTGCCTGGTTGTGTGAGAGTGATTTATTGAGGCCAAAAGGCTTCATCTCCCTCAGTGGTGCTGTCATGAATTCAAAGGCCTGTATTGTTGAGGCGGGTCATGGTGCTTGAATTTGAGGTCACGGGGGTTAACACCTCATGATACACTCTTTATTCTCCACTGACACAATCCTGTACATGACTGATTGGGCATAGCTGGCGTCCAACTCGCTCACCCATCTCTCTCTCTCTCTCTCTGTGTATGTTTGTCTGCAGAAAGGACATGGCCGGAGCCTTCGAAGCAGCACTAGAGTGTCAGAAGCTCTACAACCAGCTTCCACGCATCCACGACATCATCGTCGCTCTGGTGGAGAAAGGAGACACAGATTTACTGCAAAAAGGTTCATTTCTTAACCTTTCTTTGGAATACAGCAGTAGATCCGGAGGTTGAGCAGGCTGTCCAGTAATCGGAGGGTTCTAAGATGAATCCCGGCTCCCAGCAGAGAATGCTGCTGTTGTGTCTTTGGGAAAAAACACTTAACCTACATTACCTGCTGGTGGTGGTCAGAAGGACCGGTGGTGCCAGTGCTTGGCAGCCTCGCCTCTGTCAGTGCGCCCCAGGGCAGCTGTGGCTACATCGTAGCTCATCAACCATTAGAGTATGAATGTGTGTGTGAATGGGTGAATGACTGATTGTGTTGTAAAGCACCTTAGGGGGTTGTAAGACCCTAGAAGCTGCTATAGAGAGCCTAAGTCATGCCCATCTAGCTCTAGACCATGGGTCCCTGGAAGAATGAAAAAATGAATGCAAGTCAACGGGGCTAAAAGAGCTAGTTTCTAATCCCCTTTGTGTTACGTCCTGGATCACACTTATATTGTACTTCTATTAAAATGGAACACGTCGGCACGTCGCATATATGACGTCACCACACAATCTCCTCTCCCCCAGTATAGCTGCTACTTACCACATGGCGGGATTGATGGTGGTTGTGTCCTCCTGAGAGAAGGATTCAAAGTTCTCTGAACTTACAGACATTTTCCCTCTGTTTTTCTCCATGTCTGATTCGTTGGCGTCACTTTGGTGATGCGCATTTTAAGTCCTGGACATATTTTCACACAAAACCTAAAATAACTTGTGCCCCCATTTGAAAATAATGTGTTCTTGGCATCAGAATGTGTCTCTACAATGCACTGACCTATGTGAAATCCAGGCACATAACAAGCGGGATTAGAAAATAGCATTTTTAGCCCCATTGACTAGCATTCATTTTGTTGTTCTTCCGGGAACTCGGGGTCCAGAAGTAGATGGGCGTGACTTGGGCTCCCTATTTCAAATAGAGGCAATTTACTGTTAATGTTTTTTATCTCCTGCTGTCAAAAGGCACTTTAACACTTTAACTTTTGGAGACAACTCCATTCAAGATGGCTGCCACGGCCTACTGACCTTGGAACACAAAGATGATTTTGTACATTTATACATATTGAGATTAAATTTGATGTGGTGGAAGCTAAGTTTTTGACAAATCAAATTCAGCCATTCACCCATTTGGCCAATCGGGCGGGTTCTTATAGTTTAGATGCCCGCCCTCTAGGCAGCCGGCACTTAATTTGGATGGCTAGCAAACACCCGAGTTAGCTTCGTTCTTCTCTTTCTGACAATTTCGCTTTTCCCGGGATCCACTTGTTGATTTTATTTTTCCCTTTCCTCACATCTTTTGATCACAATTTTTGCTTTTCCAATTTTTGTGATATCTTTTGATTTTGTTGCTTTTGATTATAATTTTTTTTGTTCTTGAGTTAAGTATTTGTTTATTTTTTTAAGTCATATCATCATCGCAATATTAATCACTGTTATCGTGCATCGAGAGGATTTCCTAATATCTTGCAGCCCCAATTATAACGGCCTCGTTCTGCATAAAGTTTGATCTGTTTTTAAACTCCAGCATTAAACACTAGCTCATTATAAACAGCACACACAAACACACATGCAGTAAAAACTACTTTCATAGGATTGCAAGATTTAATTTTGAATTTATGTCAACTTGTGTATTTGCATAAATCTAGCGATATATCACAGTGCAGGAAAGATGAAATTATGATACTAAAACCCAGGCGATATTTGCAACTTTAAGGCTGAATTTAATACTCACAATAAATGGTCCAAAGTACTGTTACATGTCTCACATGAGACACAAAAGAAAAATGTTGCTTGTAAATTCTCAATAAGAAAAGATACAAAAGTGATTCAGCATCATAACATGAAATATCACAATTTTTCTGTGTCCATATTTGCTTATCTTATGAACATGAAATATATTTTGATTACCAATTATTAAAATACTGTTTCATCACTCAAAGCTAAAATAAGAGCTTCCATTTTATTCAGAATGATTTTGATAGAATTCTTTGTTTTGTAGTAAAATTAGACAAAAATGAGGGAGCTTGGTTCAATTCAATTCAAAGATACTTTATTAATCCCAGAGGGAAACTAGAGTTTCAGTACACACAATTCTGAGATCAGACATACATAGGCATAGACACATGACAAGAATTGGTGACTGTGGTCATTCGCAACCCGAGTCGCGCTACCTTCAAAGAGATCAGAGGATTTATATATGAGGATTGGGTCAGGTGGAGGAAAAAAAGGCACTTCAGAGTTACTCTCCACAGGGAGGGCAGCTTTGCTATGCAAAAAACACCTCAGACAGAAATGCAACAGACTTCAGACATTACACAACATAAGTGTCCACTAGGTGGGATGGTGGGGTAGAGGACTCTCCAAACATCAGTGCATGCAGCCACGATGAGCAGCGCTCGTCACCTCTGTTTGGACAGGGGAGGGAGGTCGTTGGGTTTAGAGAGCACAGTGACTCCTGGAAACGATTCAACGGCCTTCACCGGTCGCAGTCCCAACCAGGCTGGGATAGGGAGACAGCGTTGCCATGGCGATGGCAGCATTCCACATTTCATCTGAGAGGGAGTTATCGCTTCAGCCTCACAGGCTCCAGGGCACCAGATTCAGATAAGAACTTGTTTTGGGGCCAGACAGAGATAATTTCCTCTCTGTCTTAAAGTTCTGTTGGTCCTCAACCCCTCTAAATCCAATAATGGCGTAGTTAATCAATCCCAATCCGCGCTGACCCGTTAACTCGCTCCTTGATCGAATCCACCTTCTGTGCCAGAGTCGGAATCTCAGCCAAAGTTCCAAGCTTACGACTCATCTCGACAATTATATGAGTATGTGCATTCACAGCACGGTGTAATCCATCCCTGAGCTCCGGGATTGAGCCAGTATTCCTCGACAGCTCATTAATTTTCCAGTAAGCCATGTAACCGCTCAGGCCAAACAGCACGAAACCTGACACCAACATCACGAATATCCAGACGTCTTCAGAATCCTCTACAGACAGTTGGGAGAGGCAGATCAGGTTCCACTGTTTCCAGGAGTCCATGATATACCCAGCTGGCTTTGTCCCAGAGGGGCAACCGGGAGCCCCTTCTCCCATTCTCATCGTTGGAAAAAATCTTGTCAATTGCATTGAGAGACCAACTGACCAGGTCCATTTTTAATAATTTCCAGTTTAAGAAAAAAGGCAGAAGCGCCGTTCACCCAAACACAAAGAGCCTTGGGATAAGATAGGGAGGAGAGGAGGAAAAAAGCGTCTGTCCTCTCCAAGAGGATCATTTGACTTATTTCAAAAGTAGACAAACATAACCAAATGAAATGTTATTCTGCTACTGTCTGCGTCTGACACCTTTTTAATCATTTTAGGCAGGAATCAGAGTTTCTCATAAGAAACTGAAGTCTGTGATGCTTCTTTTTTAATTTTCTGACTTTAGCCTCACACTTTTCTATGAATTCAAAGGACTTTTCCCATATTTGCATTAAGCGTACGTGTCAACAGGTTCCAGTGATTCCAAGAGAGTGTAACAGGACCAGAAGGCCAGAAAGGCTCAGATCAGGGTCGGAGTGAAGCATCCGACCCAGTCGCATGTAGAGTGGCCTTGCTTTCTCCATGGTGAGAACGTGGAGTTCGACATGCTGCGAGGGCAAGTGGCTCTGAGTGTGTGACGATCGAGGCAAAGCAGTGGAGCACCTCTCCACTTCCTCTTCCTCCCCCTTTCATTCACACACATCCCAAAGTATGACAGGTTCTCAAAACCAGTCACCTCAACCTTAAAAAACACAGCAACTTTTATCATTTTTTGCTATAAACTAGCATTTAAACCAGAGTCAACAACACATTTATTCTGTGTCCCACTCTGTTGTGTAAAATACAAGAGAGATAACTTATGAATCTGTGAGTGTAAGCTGAGTGGTTCTCACCCAGTCTGTTGTTGAAGGGTTTGAAATAAATACAGAAACTCTGAGCCGTCTGACCTTCAGTGATCCAGAACATTTCAAAACAGTCACTGGATTAATTTATAAGAGAATGGTTTAAAGAGACAATATGTAGTTTTTACTGATAATCTCTGGAAATTTCCTTCAAAATGTTGTTGAAAATGAATTAAAGGATGCCCAGTTGTTGAAAAATATTGTAATATATAAACATAAAAATCAGGTCTAAAATGCGTGGGAGCGTATCGAAGTCTCTGGCCACATTAGAAGGCATGTTTACTTCTACGGGAGCCAGTGAGGACAAAATGCATTTAGTGATTTATAACAAATGATTACAAAACATTTACCATTCATGAACATTGTTGTTTTACACATTTACCTCTTCGCTCGTTGCCAGTGATGAAAGGGAGGCTGGTGTGCTTCTTATTGTGCTGGAGGTAGGGCAGGGCGATATACGAAAATATTAAAATATTGGTATAATTTTTAAACAATATTTAAGTTGACTTTATATCTTCATATCGATATAACTGGTCAAACTGCTATGCTAGCAATTAGCCGCTATGCTAGTGACATGTTGCCCCGTCTCTAAGCGGCTATTACATGTATTCTCACAAGTTTTCTCAGTCTGAGAACCTCTGGGTAAATGTACTCCTCTAAACTTTGCATTTGGGTTCTGGTTTTTAATTATTTGGGGACCTTCAACGCCAACAGAATTCTGTTTATCTATCCTGCTTGTGCGGAGAGACCAAGCCCCCACAATGCGGGTGAAAAATTGAGTCCAATGCGGAAGTGAAATTAATTGCAGTTCCACCCTCATCCGCTGGGGGCTGGTGTCAGAAGCGAGCAAATCCTCATTGACTCCCATGTTAAAAATACCAATTTCACAGCAGAAATAAACATGTTTACAGCCTGTTTCCAAAACATGTTTTTTGTTTAAATGATCTAGTTTACACTCATGACAACTCTGAGGGTGGTGAATTTTTTTCTCACTCTTCAGTTTAAGTGTATTAAAAGTCTAAAAGTCTGTATAATTAATGAGCATCAGACCCACGTGACCACAGAGCTAGCTCCATGGAAAGGCCTCAGTAGAGCCTCGGTCTGGCTTGGAAACTGTTCCGGGATTTTGAGTCTCTGTGTTTGTGTGTTCTTTTTTGGATATTTTTTGTGCAATTGTTGGACAAAATGACTTGCTGTGGCATTAATTGCACTAATAGAGCGTCCAAGGAGTCTCCACTTCATTTTTTTCGTTAAGTAAAATTATATTTATGTATTTTAGGTCACTGCCGAGCTGAGCTTAGATTTTAACATGTACTGTTTAACCATGAAATATAAATGCAATAGAGTAAAACCCAGTGCATTTAACATAATACTGCACTTTAGAAAATGGGTTGAAATAAAGCATGTTGGTGGAGCTGGGTTCCCACTATTCGATGTTTCCCACCCGGTTCTCCCCTCCCCGCAGCTCGGCGCATCTCTGTCTGATCGCGGCTTCTGTCTGCTGTGTGGCTGCCGGCTTGTGGAGCTCTCGGAAGACCTCTGTGTTCCACCTGGTTTTACCCAGCGGTCAGCCCGGTGTATCTCTGACTCAGAAGCTCTGGTGTTGTTCACAGTTAACTCCGGTTGTAGCTAGGTTGCTACCTCCGTTAGCTTAGCTCCCACCTCTGCGTTAGCTTTGGGTTAGCTTCAGGTTAGCTTGTAGCTAGTTCGACCAGGTGTCGTCAGTTGATCCCAGCCTTACAGCCCTACCCTCAGCTCCACCTCTTTTCCCTTTTGTGGAATTGTCTGGGCTTGACGGAACCTGTGACACGGTCAAAATGGTGGTGGTGGCCACCTCCCATTTAACTTCAAAAATGTGTTATTGGAGCCTATGGAAACCCATTGTCCAATATTTATATGTTGATGGGAGAGACGAGTCAAACCCCTCCCTCCCCTGTGTAATGAGGAAACACTACAGAAAGCCGGAGTGGCAAAATTACCTCAAACTTATTGTTAGGGTTTGAATAGTAAACTATAGGGTTACCGTATTATTTTGAAGGTTAGCGCAACGGGTGAGAATGTTGTTCCGGTTTTTTCCACTCTGGTTTGCTATGCTAGTAAATTCTCCGTTGCGAGCGATTCTGTTGAAAAAGTTAAGAGTTTGTAAGGCGTGGGTTATGGCGACAGTAGCCCGAAAATAATACTCATAGCAACCAGAGACTCTGAGTCATTACAGTATAATCGCTGATATGAGCCAATACTGTTAGACTCCAGCCATGTTTGCCTTGATAACTAATAACTCCACGATGCATGACCCATGTGATCTTCAGTAGATGCAATTACATCATCATAGCTTAACATGATAGATTTATTTTCTCTGGACAAAAAATATACGATATGGGCCACCTCTAGATGAAATTTAAATGATTTTACATTAATTATAAATATATAATTAAAAAGTGCCTGTGGGACATTTGATAAACCTCTAGCTCTCGTGTGTGTGTGTGTGTGTGTGTGTGTGTGTGTGTGTGTGTGTGTGTGTGTGTGTGTGTGTGTGTGTGTGTGTGTGTGTGTGTGTGTGTGTGTGTGTGTGTGTGTGTGTACAGACAGCTGTACCAGTGTTTCTAAAGCTCAGACTGGTAGAGAATAGGCACTAATGTTAAAGTTTGACAACAATCAATACATTTTTATGCATTTAATCTATTGATTTATGGATATAATTTCTCAAGACCACTTGAAGTGAGTTAACTTGTAAATATTTTACAGGAGGAAAAATATCGAGATATATATCGTATGTCGGAATTCAGCTAAAAGATTTCGAGGCATAAGTTTTGGTCCATATCACCCAGCCCTAGCTGGAGGTTTCACTCCCACGGATTTTTGACCCTAATGGCCATCCGTTGTTAAAGTCTTACTGGAAAACAAAAATACTGCTTCCTAGCAATGATTCAGGGATGTACTGCCCTCTATCACCAGGGAAAATACTCACCGTCACTTTAAAGTCTCTTCAGTTTTAAAATGGAGAGTTAAAGATTCACCTGGAGAAAAGTCTCCACAAACCTGAAAATGAAATAATATCTGAGACCAAAAGTCCACAAAGAACCACATCTTTCTGGAGAAAGTAAATAAAGAGCGGTGACTTTTGTCCTTGGCTTTGCTGAATGTGCAGCTTCTTTTGGGGAGCTGAAGGCGTGCGTGCGTGCATGTGCGTGTGTTACCTGTACTGAAGCTGGTGAACAGAGATAGTCCGTAACGCTGAGCTGAGTGCTTTAGCAAGTTTACTGGGAGAGCTTAGGCTTTCATTTGGGACATGTGTGTGCGTGTGTGTGTGAGTGTGTGAGCAGATTTCATTTGAGTGCTTTGTGCTCAGTACATTGTGCCAAATAATGGAATCTGAGGGAAATGCTGGAAATGTGGGGTGTGTGTGATTAACTCTCAGACGTTTTTATGCAGGACCTTTGCTCTGTTTCTCCTCAGTCATGGACTTTGTTAGTCAGGAGCGAGGAGAGATGACGATGCTGTATGACCTGCTCTTTGCGTTCCTGCAGACTGGCCAGTACCGTGAAGCCCGAAAGATCATTGAGGTGAGCACAAATGTTGATGAGGACACCATATTTGATTGATATTCTACTTTTCCACAACAAGAAATTCACAAAAAAAAGGGTCCAGAAATGGTTTCCATCTATAAGTCTGTTGAAATGTTTTGTCTTTGGAGGACATGTGGGATGGAAGTGCCACACTCTCCTTGTTACAGTACATCACCAGAGTGGAGGATTTCACAAATGTTTAAATCTTTGTCATCTCAAGTGCTGCTGCTATAAGCCCTGTAGATTAGTAACTTGAAAGAGAAGAAGCATTTGTTTGTTTTTTTGCGTGGATCAAACCAAAGGTCAGGGACTTGACAGCAGCACAGGGAGATTGATGAATGGATGAAAAGAGGGATGAGCCTGACAGTGGAGGAGAGACAAAGCTCTTACTGTGTTTGATCAGCAGGAGAGCAAAACAGATGAAGGCATATCTGAACTCGGTTACTTTGGCATCTCTATCTCGTGGCCTGGTGTGCACTAAAAGAGGGATTTGTCCCTCTTGAGGATTCAAGCCCTCTTAGATATGATCAACATGTTGTTGCTGTGGCTCTCGTTCCCTCCCGCTAGATTATACAGCTGCTCTCTTGCTTCTGATATCGGCTTCATGCCAGTGGTGTGTGGGGTTGTTGATGCCCTGGTGGGCCGGTCAGGCTCATAATGTTTGAGGAGGAGAGGCACTGATGGGAAGATGCACATTCATACCACTTATTTAATAAAAATAATAACAATAATATATAAATGGTAAAATGATAAATAGACAAATTGAAGCAAATGAATCCTGGTGACAGCTGGATTCTTTTGCAAAAGGTTTAACGTTTAAGAGTCGAATGCCTTCTCCAGGTCAGGGATGAGGTCCTGCCCCAGTGGAGGAGTTCACCATCTCAGGGTCTTGTTCATAAGTGAGGGAAAGATGGAGCGGGAGATCGGTAGGTGAGTTGGTGCTGCTTCTACAGTGATGCAGACGTAGTACCGGTCTGTCGAGGGGAAAAGGGAGCTGAGCTGCAAGGTGAAGCTCCTGATTTACCGGTCGAGCTACGTTCCTGTCCTCTGCTATGGTCATGAGCTTTAGGTAGTGAGATTGTGGATACAAGCAGCCAAAATGAGTTTTTCTCTGCAGGATGTCTGGGCTCTCCCTTAGAAATAGGGTGAGAAGCTTGGTCATCCGGGAGGGACTCGGAGTAGATCTGCTGCTCCTCTACATTGAAAGGAGCCAGTAGAGGTGGCTCGGGCATCTGGTTAGGATGCCTTCTGGTGGGTTTCTAGCACATCCAACTGGGAGGAGACCCAAAGAAGACCCAGGACACGCTGGAGGGCTAAGGTTTCCTGGCTGGTCAGGGAACACCTTAGGATTCCCCTGGAGGAAGTCTTTGCCTCTCTGCTTAGGCTGCTACCCCTGGGACCCGACCCCAGATAAAAGGAAGATGGATAGATGGATGGATCACACTTATTCCATTTTTTTATCTTCATGCACCAAATATTTCTTGTTTCCTTAGCCTCACAACTAAAGTTTTACAGTGTACACATAATGTTTTAGCTAAAATTAGATGATTTGAAACAACCAATTTTTTGCAGTGTACACATAAGATTTTTTTTTAAAACTTGGATCATTTAAGACACTCTGAGTAAAGTGCAACAATAAAATTTGTTGCAGTTTCTTGGCAGTTCCTCCCTGTGCTCCTCAAAACCCGGCCATTTAAAAAACCTGTTGCAAAAGTGTTGTCTGTACTAATTATTGGCGCCTTTTCTTGCAGTTTTTGGTATATTTAACAGTCACAGTCCTGTGAGATACTGGTTTAAACATCACACTGGTCCCATCAGGCTCCCACAGTGCATCCTGATGTCATGCTTTCCTCGAGTACATGACACTTATTGACCCGACTGTCCTCTCCATGTAAAAGACAACATCAGACTCAAGGACTGAGTGTTCTCTTGCCAACAAATAATGAGATTATGTTGTTATGATTGGAAATGTTGCAGTTAGTTTTTATATTTGATCTGGTATTTGTTTGTTTAATGTAAAATAGAGAACAAAGTGACGGGTGCTCATTTCCACCAGAATTTTGTCTGTACTGGAGTTTTAACTTTTTTATTTTTGAGTGCAATCAAGAAAAGCTGCTTTTCACTTAACCTACATAAAATTTCTAACAGAGTATTTGAATTAAAAGTCCCCCCTTCAGCCATCTGCTGTTATATTTGCCTTTCATGCTTCGACGACTACAATAGAATCATATTCCTCATCACTCAAATATTAATAGTCACACACCCACTCAGACACACAAATCCTTTTTCTCTCTCCTGTTTTGAGAACGTCAAGTGGCGGCCCAGAGTGGTGTCTCTCTTTAGGCTGTGTTTGGTATAATTGGCAGCTGATTAATCACAGCTAATTAAGTGTAATGATAGAGAAAGGTGGCCAATTTAGTGCTAAATGGTCGTGGTTATGTAGGGGATTGTCAGGTGGCCAGGTCTATTATTGCAGCAGGCGTGTGTGTGATGGTCAAGGTTAGGTAGGTGGGGCTATTATGTGTTTTTGTCTTAGGGAGAGGGGTGTGTGTGTGTGTGGGATAAGTGGCTGGGTGATTAGTAGAATTGAAACATTAGGAACTGAGATGGAGAGGTTTTGTTAAGTGGAGGTGAGATATGGTCATTTTTAACATTTTCTTTATGTTTTAAATTCACCTGAGAGTTGTAGAGGAACATTTTATCACCTCAAAGTCACGGAGAAGCAACAGGAGGCTCGTGTTCACTTAGCTTGGTGCGCGCGTGTTTGTTTGAGGATTAACATTTCTCCGATAGTGAGAGGCGTTATATTTATTTGTCTCCACTGAATTCTTTTGATTCGTGTCTGCATATGTCAGTGATGTGCCTTCTTATTTCTGAGAATTGTATTTCCGGATTAGATTAGGGAGATTTCTCCCCAAAGAGTCAAAATCCTAAATGTGTGTGTGTGCGTGCGTGCGTGTGTATGCGTGTGTGTGCGTGCTGCTTTGAGCCCTCAAGACTTTTCCAAGTAAAATGAATCGGAGGCAAAAAGATGGAGCACTCTCACTGAGCTTCAGTCTCTAAGAAGATTAGACGGACACACAGAGAGAGAGAGAGAGCTACACATTTTAATTTGTCCCTTTGGCTGGTGGGGTAAGAACATAATGCCATTGCCTGGGACAGCTAGAGGGATAGAGAGGCGAGGGAAAAGATGAAGGAGGACAGATTTGGAGGAAGAGGAAGGAATTGGGATGTGAGGATTAAAAGAGGAAAGGATGACGGCGGTGAGGGACGGTCACAGAAAGGGATGAAGCTCATCTTTTCTCTACTCTGTCCTCACAGTTTGATGGGCGGCTCATCAAAGAGGCCAGCAGGGATTGAGTGCTGTTGATCCTCGGTCAGATTAACCCTCAGCCAAATGGCTCTACTCTTCTCTCCCCTTTTTTCTTACCCAGATTACTGAGCAGAGAGGGAGAGTGACATCTCTCAATCCTAGTCTTATTCAGATTGTATCAAAGCCCCAGGATGCAGATGAAATCCTGATCAATGTTATTCCATGATAATAATCATGTGCACATATCAGGCTAAACCGTGGCTACATGAGCCAGCAGATCAATCTATGTCGGACCTTATTCACAACACAAATACTGTTTATCTCGTTGGTGCTTCAGTGGAATGGAAGCAAGGACATCACAGCGGTTTAGACCAATGTCATTACGTTTTATTTTGAAAACTCGCCTTTTCCTCCTGCTCTAACCCTAGGTGACCTCCACGATTTACAGATGTTCACAGGTCTTTTCACATCTGTGTTGTTTGAAGCTTTTGTGATGTTTTGCTTGAAAACATATTCACTTTTGACATTTCTTCCTGATTTGGTGTAAAAGCTGCTGAAGAGTAAAACCGTGTGTTAAAGAAATCCAGAATGACTGGATTATAGTTCAGGTGTTTTCTTCAGACATGAAGCAACGGAAGTTACGGTGTAACTATGGTTCTGTGAGTTCCTGGATGACTGCCAGTGGCAGTAAACAGAGTGGATGTATCTCCTCGCGCTCTGCGCAGGTCGAGTACTAATGTAAACAAAGTCACGCACGTGACACGTAGCGCACCTGGTCGCGAGTCTATAAATTACGCGCCGATAGCTACGTTCGGGTCTCCCGGGATCTTCTCGCCCGAGAAGTTCCGAGTGACCCCTGTGACTGGCAGTCATCCAGGAACTCACAGAACCATAGTTACACCGTAACTTCCGTTCTGTTTCGTTCCCTCCTGACTGCCAGTGGCAGTAAACAGAGTGGATGACTTATGCCAGAAGTGTCACGAGGAACATAAAACTCACCGTCACTCAGGAGGTAGCCGCCAGAGGCAGCACCGCCACAGCGAGCGCGGACCCGTGGCCAACGTTGAGGCGGTAGAAGCGTGCAAACGTGCACGGAGTTGCCCAGGACGCCGCAGCACAGACGTCCGCCAGTGGCACACCTCTCATCGCCGCCCAGGATGTAGCAACACTCCTGGTGGAATGGCACACGATCCCAGGGGGAGCCACTGCACCCACTGCCGCATAAGCCATCGCAATGGCGTCCACGACCCAATGCGACAACCTCTGCTTCGAGAGGGCCCGACCCCTGTTCACTCCTCCGTGACAGACAAACAGCTGGTTCGACTGCCGGACAGTGTTTGTGGCCACAATATAGAGCTGCAGTGCCCGGACCGGGCACAGCAAATTCGCCCGCCATTGTTCCTCCGAGTGAAATGGGGGAGGGAAATACGCCCCCAGCTCGATTGCGGCATTCACATAGCCAGCGGGCAGAACCTTGGGAAGAAAGGCGACGTTGGGCCACAGCGTCACCCCCGACCCATCTGCCTTCCACCGCAGGCAGGCGGGGCTGATGTCCAGTGCGTGCAGCTCACTGACCCGTTTAGCTGACCTCACTGCCAAGAGAAAGGCGGTTTTCACAGACACCACTGCCAACGGGGCGGTAGTCATTGGCTCAAAGAGTGGCCCACACAGGGCCTGCAGGACC